TGTAAGTAAAGTATGTCACTTCTCATTTTTTATTGGACAAATGAAATTACATGGCCACGAGTATTTTAAACAGGAAATAGAATTGAATTTCTACCATGTGTCTGGGAAGAGAACTGAAATATTTGTAATTGGTCCCAGTGACTATAATAGTATTTTAACAATCAGTGCTTACTATCTAGAGATCACCTATTTCCACTACACATATTTCCCCTGCCCTCAGTTTTGACCATGGGCCTTCTAATATGACTCTCTTTTTCTTCAGTCATCAGAAGACAAAACTTCAGACTTTTGCTGGGGTCAGGGAAGTAGGTTACTCAGTTACTGGAGTGGGGTAAAGTGAGCTGACTGCTAAAAGTTTAACTGATTTTGAAGCAATTTTAATGTAATTCTACTTATTTGGCATCCTGTTGTCATTTCCATAGTATCTAGGGCTGACAGTTCTGATACTTCTGAAAATCTTGCAGTCTAAGCAGGATTGGTTCTCAGCTTTTCCCACTTCAGGATTGGTAGTTGGTTTATCAGGTCTACTGAGTTATCCATGTACTTTCTAGCTACTAACTTGGATTGGCTATTAGATGAGCATATGATTGTATTTCTCCATACTGATGATGTGTTTTGTAGCCAAAAAATTCTTGTTCCACTAAAAGCTTAGCCCTCAAAGTAATGAAGTAATAAATTCAATTTCTGGGACAAGATCCTTTGGACCAGTGGTGCTTCCCCACTGTGTTGTTGGCACTGTCATCCATTCCTACTTCCTTTTATTAATTTTTTATAAGTTCAGGGTCTGCAAAGCTTAAAACTCCATTTTACAGGATCCTGTGAATTATTATTCTGGATGTAAATTAGGTTTTACCAATGAGATACCTTCACATGAACCTTCGAAGACAGGTAGAGGTCATCTTCCCATTGCCATTGCTGTTGACCAACAGATCAGAAAGATGTGAGTGCTTGCAGCCAAGTCAGCATCTATGTCCAGCCATCAGTTTCATAGGGAACTGGAGGACATTGTGGCAGCCAGACACTATGTTCCAGTGTGTAGTCATCAGTTTTGGAGGTGGGAGGGGAGAGGCCATTTTGGCAGCAAGAGTTTTGGGAGCAGCCATAGCAGCAGCTTCCTGATTTCTGTATGGCAGCAACGGTAGAATGCCTTCAAAACCAGGAGTTTGGTGTTGACTCTCTTGCTTCTACTTGTCCAGTTCTTCCAATTTTGTAAGCGCCTAATTCCCTCTATCAAATATCTCTTTTTTCCCTTTGGTTAGATGTACATAGAGTGGTTTCTAGTTTGTTTTATTTTGTTTTTGTCTTGAACTCTGAATAATTCACCCAAACTCAGTTTTATCTTCTTTATAATTTGAGTGAAAAATTTACACCTTGAATTATAAGGAATAGGAGCTTCTCACTTAGACTTTGTAAAGGAAAAGACATAAATGTAAAATTATTAAGCAATTAAGGCACTACGCTCTTAAGGTAACACATCTTGGTTTAAGAATAGGGAAGAATAAAGCATTATGGGTGCACTCCTGAGAGACTAAGGATAAAACTGTTTAATAAATTTAATGTATGTATTTTAAGAAATATATAACATGGTCTGAAAGTGAATTAGAAACTCTTTCCCCTAATGTGTAATATAATAGATAAAAATTAGTTTTAAAATGTCATTATGGGTGTACTCTATCTGTGAATAAATAAGAAAAGGACTCAACATCACATACATTTTAAAAGATGATAACTAGCTCACATATTCTAAATGATATATAGTTAAGTGAAGGAAGCAAGTATCAAATAGTGTAAATAGTACATAAGCATTTATAAAAATAAATATTTTGTTAGAGTTTTGAAGTTTATAAAGCAAGACAATAAAATAACAGATTGAAATTTACTCACTAATTTAGTCAATACTCATTCATCCATAGTTACTTCAGTATGTATTCTTCTAAACACAATAGAAAAAGAGCTCTCTCCATAAGGAGATTATAACCTAGTGCAGAAGCAAGATCATTGATTTGACTGGGCAGAGTACCCAATGAATAGAACAACTGATTTAATAGATTCAAAGAAAAAATAGACTAATATGTCACTGAAATAATGGCAAAATTGAATCTTCAATTTGAAAAGACATTAGGCAGAGCTTCTCATTTCTGAAACTGATAGCATAGATAATTCAGATGACCCTCCTGTGAAAAACAATAAAAAGTAATGGACAAGACTTAAAAAAATCACTTAAAATATTGAAGAGCTAAAAACATAGTGAAAAAAGTCTAATTTTTGATGGAAAGCTGTAATAGAGGGATAAACAGTATATCAGAACAACAAAACTTAGTATTCTCTCAGGGCATTTAAAAACATTTTCCCTTGGACTTTGACTTGAAGCTATGTGAGATCAAAGATCAAGTCTCAGGGCCAGCTGAATGTGCAGCATAGTGTATGAAGATCCTACCTGTTCTAAGGGACCCCACAGGGCTGTATCCACAATGCAAACACAGTGGAAACACCAACAAATCTAAACCTGCTCCCTCCCTCAATTCCAGAGAATTATAGGGAAGGTTCCTGGTGTTAAGTAGAGCACAAGAAAAAGAAAAGAAAACATGTGTAGGAAAATTGTAGTTACAGATTGGTCCTCATGTATGTTTGTATTTTGAACACGCATAGTTTGAGCTGCAAGAAACTGCAAGTCATAAACATGGTTTGTGATGGTCCCCCTGCTTACAGTGTTTCCAGGATCCTGGCTGAAACAAATGAAAATCAGTTTTTAAGGATAGAACACGCAACTGAGGCCTTGAGGACACCATACAAATACATTTTCAAGGGTAATCAATTATATGATTCACACAAAGAAACAAAGACAACATGAATGAGAAGAATCAGCAACAATACAGCAGAAATACGCCCATACAAACTTCAGTTATGGGAACTATCAGACAGATTTAAAAACCAATTATACTGACCACATATAAATATATAAACGACATCCTTGAAAATATCTGCATGGAACAGATTGAAAGGGTACACTGAATATCAGGAAAAGTGATACAAAATTATCAAAATTATGACATAACCTGTTAAAGATAATAAATTTCAAGGATAGAAAGCAAGTCACCTACAGGTGAAGAAAACAGGCTTCAGATTTCTCCTCACCAACATTTAATGCCAGAACACAATAGACATGTCTGAAGGGTTCCAAGAGAAAGAAATCATGGTTCACTACTTTTATACCTAGCCAAGATGTTGTTCAGGTACAAAGATAACTGCGGCAAACAGAAAGAATTGATAAAACATTGCATTGGTATTCATGAGTGCTTACTGAAAGAAAGAACTACCTAAGGATGAAATTCAGTCAACTTATAGATGAACTAAAACTATGATGAAGGGGGCTAATGTAATATTTGGTGTCAACAAATCTCTGAAGAAAAGAAAGTGGACTGAAAAATTTTAGGAAAAGTTTTCAATTAGAAATAATTGTGCCTCGGGTAAACCTCATTGGCTGCAATACTGCCACAGTGCAAAAGCTGGCTGAAGAATTTTATACACAGCCAAATAATACTTCTCAAGTATGTGACAATTCAAGAAATAACAGTACCTATAAACTCTTCTTTAAAGGATTATACCTGATGAAATCCAGCAAACCAAGAGATGATGCAATATAAATATTGCCTAATCAGCTTTTTATTGTCTCATAAAAAGACAGCCAAGCAGCATAATACAGATAAGGCAAAGTCTCTAACATGAGGGTAGAGACCAGAGACAAAGAGCATAAAAGTAATTCCAAAGAAAAATGAAATGCTAGGATCAGAAGAAAAATTTAAAAACCTAAAACTAATATCTTCAGAGATGTAAGAAAGGACCAAGTCTCTGTGATACAATAAAAGGCTACCAAAAAAGAGAAAGAAAATATATGGGAAAAATAAAACAATAAAAGGCTGCCATTGATGGATGAAGCCTTAAATATAAGGGCTAAAGCTATAACACACTTAGAAGAAAACATAGGTGTAAATCTCTATGACGTTGGATTATTAAGCAAGGATTTCTTAGATATGACACCAAAAGCATAAGCAACCAAAGTGAAAACTAAATAAATTATGCTTCCTTAAAATAAAAAAAACCAACTTTTGTGCTTCAAAGGACACTATCAATAAAGTTAAAAGACAAACCAAAGAATGGGAGGAACTATTTGTAAATGATATCTCTGATAAGGGTCTAGTAACCAG